TGTGCCACGCACGCATGCAGTTTTGAATTACAAACTTCCAATATACTTCCAATTGTCCAGTGTGCACCGTGTCGTGGCGCTGAGTGGCACATCTGGTGTTTGACCCGCTCTACTCTCCTGCTGTCTATAATTCTGCTCCCACCTTTTCCTTCACTAAACCTCTAAAATAAAGCATGTCTATCCTGCATGGAGAAACAAGCTGATCTTCACCACACACACACACACACACACACACACACACACACACACAGCTCAGCAGTATGTTGTACAGACAGCAGTATACCGCAGTACCTGCAGGCCTTGAGTGCGTCAGTGGATGTGGGGTAGATGGAGATGCTGGCAGACCGGTGTGCTGCAGACGATGTGATGCTCTGCTCTGGCTCCAGCTTCAGCGGGCTCCGAGAGTCCTCAGAGCAGCCGTTAACGGTGACTGGGGCCTGCAAGGGCCTGAGGGGGGTGGTGGGGTCACCGGGGCGCGGGGAGGGGGAGGCGGCAGACAGGGCAGAGGCAGGCGAGGAGGCGGAGGAGCTGCCCGGTGCCGGCAGGGTGGAGCCCACAGGGGTGAGGGGGGCGGCAGGCGCGGTGGCGGGCAAAGTCTGTAGATTGGGCAGCGGAGGATTGTCTGTGGTGGTGGCGGATACAGGCGAGGGTGGGCGGTGGGGTGAGGCCGGGCTGTGGGTGTCAGTGGCAGTGGAGCCGTTGGCCTGCAGGGCGGCGCTCTCTTTGGTCGGGATGGTGCTGTGCGGCGCACCTGAGGTAGCTGTGTGCGGGAGGGCGCAGGGGGAACACCTGCGGGGCGGGGGAGACCCACTGCTGCCCGCCGCATCACCCGCAGACGCTGAATCTACAACCTGATTATGAGGCCCGCCATCAGCAGAACCGCTGGAAGAGTCAGACCGGATGCCATTAGGACCTGCCCAATGAGAACCCGGACCTTTCTGAAGCCCCTAAACACAGAAGAGATGCACAAAACATGAATGAACGCAATGATGAAGAACTGAACAGACACAACACTTCACCACAGGAACCTCAACTGAGAGAAAGTTGAAATGCTCTGATTGTGTAATAACGGAACTTGACCAAAGACCACAACACTGAGGTGTAGACAGGTGTATCGCTCTGCATTTACAGTAGTGTCTCAATATCTGCAGCACACCTGAGCGGGGGGGAGCTGCGGGCTCCTGCGGCCGGCTCCTGGGCTTGTGCAGTTGTGAGGTAGTGTGTTGGGGTGCAGGTAAGGCACGTCTCCGTTCGCTCTGCTCTCCGTGTGATTATTGCGGACTGCAGGGGTCTGAGGGCCAGGGCGGGGCCCGGGGCCATTGTGGAGCGTCTGTAGCGCAGGACCGCGGGAGGCCGGCAGTGAGGGCCCATTGGAGAGCGAGGGCCGAATCTGGCCAGAGGAGTTCTGCCTCATCTGAACACAAACATCACAACAGGCGATTATTATAAAGAGAGCAGAAAAACATGTCAAATAATGATGACGTGACACCACAACAACAGAGCGGTTCTGGAGGGTCAAACTCAGCTCTGCAGTTTAGATTTAACTGGAATTAAACTGATCTAACTAACAGAGTCTCACAGCAGCAGGTAAAGGATGGTGTACTGGTGCAGTGGTGTGGAGCTGATGGTGCAGTGGTGTGGAGCTGATGGTGCAGTGGTGTGGAGCTGATGGTGCAGTGGTGTGGAGCTGACGGTACAGTGGTGTGGAGCTGACGGTGCAGTGGTGTGGAGTTGACGGTGCAGTGGTGTAGAGCTGACGGTACAGTGGTGTGGAGCTGATGGTGCAGTGGTGTGGAGCTGATGGTGCAGTGGTGTAGAGCTGACGGTGCAGTGGTGTGGAGTTGATGGTGCAGTGGTGTGGAGTTGACGGTGCAGTGGTGTGGAGCTGATGGTGCAGTGGTGTGGAGCTGACGGTACAGTGGTGTGGAGCTGATGGTACAGTGGTGTGGAGCTGACGGTGCAGTGGTGTGGAGCTGACGGTGCAGTGGTGTGGAGTTGACGGTGCAGTGGTGTGGAGTTGACGGTGCAGTGGTGTGGAGCTGATGGTACAGTGGTGTGGAGCTGATGGTACAGTGGTGTGGAGCTGACGGTGCAGTGGTGTGGAGCTGACGGTGCAGTGGTGTAGAGCTGACGGTGCAGTGGTGTGGAGCTGATGGTGCAGTGGTGTGGAGCTGACGGTGCAGTGTTGTGGAGCTGACGGTGCAGTGTTGTGGAGCTGACGGTGCAGTGGTGTGGAGCTGACGGTGCAGTGGTGTGGAGTTGACGGTGCAGTGGTGTGGAGTTGACGGTGCAGTGGTGTGGAGCTGACGGTGCAATGGTGTAGAGCTGACGGTGCAGTGGTGTGGAGCTGATGGTGCAGTGGTGTGGAGCTGATGGTGCAGTGGTGTGGAGCTGATGGTGCAGTGGTGTGGAGCTGACGGTGCAGTGTTGTGGAGCTGACGGTGCAGTGTTGTGGAGCTGACGGTGCAGTGGTGTGGAGTTGACGGTGCAGTGGTGTGGAGTTGACGGTGCAGTGGTGTGGAGCTGACGGTGCAATGGTGTAGAGCTGACGGTGCAGTGGTGTGGAGCTGACGGTGCAGTGGTGTGGAGCTGACGGTGCAGTGGTGTGGAGCTGATGGTGCAGTGGTGTGGAGCTGATGGTGCAGTGGTGTGGAGCTGACGGTGCAGTGGTGTGGAGTTGACGGTGCAGTGGTGTGGAGTTGACGGTGCAGTGGTGTGGAGCTGATGGTGCAGTGGTGTGGAGCTGATGGTGCAGTGGTGTGGAGCTGACGGTGCAGTGGTGTAGAGCTGACGGTGCAGTGGTGTGGAGCTGACGGTGCAGTGGTGTGGAGCTGACGGTGCAGTGGTGTGGAGCTGACGGTGCAGTGGTGTAGAGCTGACGGTGCAGTGGTGTAGAGCTGATGGTGCAGTGGTGTGGAGCTGACGGTGCAGTGGTGTGAAGCTGATGGTGCAGTGGTGTGGAGCTGATGGTGCAGTGAGGATGCAGTGGTGTGGAGCTGACGGTGCAGTGGTGTGAAGCTGACGGTGCAGTGGTGTAGAGCTAACGGTGCAGTGGTGTGGAGCTGACGGTGCAGTGGTGTGGAGCTGACGGTGCAGTGGTGTGGAGCTGATGGTGCAGTGGTGTGGAGCTGATGGTGCAGTGGTGTGGAGCTGACGGTGCAGTGGTGTGGAGCTGATGGTACAGTGGTGTGAAGCTGACGGTGCAGTGGTGTAGAGCTGACGGTACAGTGGTGTGGAGCTGATGGTGCAGTGGTGTGGAGCTGACGGTGCAGTGGTGTGGAGCTGACGGTGCAGTGGTGTGGAGCTGATGGTGCAGTGGTGTGGAGCTGACGGTGCAGTGGTGTGGAGCTGATGGTGCAGTGAGGATGCAGTGGTGTGGAGCTGACGGTGCAGTGGTGTGAAGCTGACGGTGCAGTGGTGTAGAGCTAACGGTGCAGTGGTGTGGAGCTGACGGTGCAGTGGTGTGGAGCTGACGGTGCAGTGGTGTGGAGCTGACGGTGCAGTGGTGTGAAGCTGACGGTGCAGTGGTGTAGAGCTGACGGTGCAGTTGTGTGGAGCTGATGGTGCAGTGGTGTGAAGCTGACGGTGCAGTGGTGTAGAGCTGACGGTGCAGTGGTGTGGAGCTGATGGTGCAGTGGTGTGGAGCTGACGGTGCAGTGAGGATGCAGTGGTGTGGAGCTGACGGTGCAGTGGTGTGAAGCTGACGGTGCAGTGGTGTAGAGCTAACGGTGCAGTGGTGTGGAGCTGACGGTGCAGTGGTGTGGAGCTGACGGTGCAGTGGTGTGGAGCTGACGGTGCAGTGGTGTGAAGCTGACGGTGCAGTGGTGTAGAGCTGACGGTGCAGTGGTGTAGAGCTGACGGTGCAGTTGTGTGGAGCTGATGGTGCAGTGGTGTTAAGCTGACGGTGCAGTGGTGTAGAGCTGACGGTGCAGTTGTGTGGAGCTGATGGTGCAGTGGTGTGAAGCTGATGGTGCAGTGGTGTGGAGCTGATGGTGCAGTGAGGATGCAGTGGTGTGGAGCTGACGGTGCAGTGGTGTGAAGCTGACGGTGCAGTGGTGTAGAGCTAACGGTGCAGTGGTGTGGAGCTGACGGTGCAGTGGTGTGGAGCTGACGGTGCAGTGGTGTAGAGCTGACGGTGCAGTTGTGTGGAGCTGATGGTGCAGTGGTGTGAAGCTGACGGTGCAGTGGTGTAGAGCTGACGGTGCAGTTGTGTGGAGCTGATGGTGCAGTGGTGTGGAGCTGACGGTGCAGTGTTGTGGAGCTGACGGTGCAGTGGTGTAGAGCTGATGGTGCAGTGGTGTGGAGCTTACGGTACAGTGAGGATGCAGTGGTGTACTGGTGTACCTGTTGTTGGTGGAGGTGCATGGCGGACAGCTGCGCCTCCATCTGCTCCAGCATCTGCAGCTGTGCAGGTTTCAGACTGGCCCGGCTGGCCCGCAGCTGCTCCAGCAACTGAACACAGCAGAACAAACCAACCATACAGTGAAGAAGCGATCAGACAGACAGACAGACAGACAGGCACACACACACATACACACGCACACACACACACACACACGCACACGCACACGCACACAGACACACACGCACACGCAGACGCACACGCACACACACACACACACACACACACACACACACACACACACACACACACTCTCTCTCTCTGCATTTCTCACTCTTGAGCTTTTAATATTTAATGAGAAGTGATGATGGGATTATCCCTAAGCTCATTTGCATACACTGAATGCCACACCCACATCTCCTCATCCAATCAGCAGTGAATGCACAGAACAGTGAGCATCACACACACACGTCTGTCTTTGTGTAAAAGAACGCCCAGAACAGATGGACCCTGCGGTGCTCACGCTGGACTCACCTGCAGCTTCTGCGGCGTCAGGTACCAGTGCGGAACCGGCGTGTGTGCGGACCCGCTGCTCCAAGAATCTGTAGAGCTCTGACACACACACACACACACACACACTTTATGTCATGTGTACTGCAATATGAACAGTTTGAGATTAGTTAAACCCTATCTGGGCAGGACTCAAGTGCTCTGCAATACACACTATAACAGACGTTTGACAAATGTGACGTCATCGTGGTGTTGGCAGAGTGTTTGCAGATGCACAGCTCCGAGTGTGTGGAGCAGGTGAAGCGCTGTAGGCTTCCTCTGAGGCTTTGAGGGAACACCCTCCTATATTTAGTGCACAGCTTATCAGTAGCTATTGAAGGAGTTGTGATGTTTTTTAACTTTGTGTTATGCATTAACAGTTTAATCCTGTATTAAGATCTGATCTCATGTTTGTGTGCTTCATCTCATATATCCTTGTTCCATAACAGCCGTGGCTTCGTGTGCTGATAACCAAGGCGCGTGATAGAAGCGTCTAAGTGTTTCTACTCTTTCGTTCAGAGCGTGCTAGCTTCTATTCTAACAGGGATGCAGGAGGAGCACTGATGGGGGGGTGCAGGCTCACTCTCTCCTGTGCTGTTATGTGTGTGCGTGCGTTTTCTGTGCAGAGTGGCTGTTCTGCCTGAAACTGGTGATTAGGCTGATCTGACCGCCCGAACTGTGTGAAGCCACCGCAGCTCTGTATGCTTTATTCATCTGATTATTGACACTGGCTGCCTGCTCAGTTGGGCATTAAATTTAAAATATTGCTTCTGACCTGTAAAGCTGTAAATAATTCAGCTCCTGTTTATTTAACCGATCTTCTGTCTCGCTACAATCCAGCTCGCTCTTTAACATCTCTAAACTCAGGGCTTCTGGTAGCACCTAGAATAGCAAAGTCCACTAAAGGAGGTCGAGTCTTCTCATTTATGGCTCCTAAACTCCGAAATATCCTTCCTGATAATGTCCGTGGCTCAGACACACACTCTCAGTTCAACACTAGATTAAAGACCTGTCTGTTTAGTAAAGCACACACTCTGTGCAGCACTTAGCGGTGTGATGCATGAATGTGCTCCACGCAGGTTTCTGCATCTCGTTTATGAACAGCAGCTACGCTAATTATTCTCTTTATTCTCTATTTCCACCAGGGGATACTCATCCTGAGGCACTCAGAGTCTATGCAGAGTCACTGAGTCGATTCAAGACCAGCGAGATGATCCCAAGGTTTCCATAATCCTGGACCAGGCCGTATCCTGAGCAGCAGCTGTGGTGGTCATGGAGGAGTGGAGGGCATGAGACTGATTCCTGTGATGCTCCAGGGACAGACGAGTCTACGCTGAGGTCCAGCGCTCTCCAGCCCCCGGCGCCTAGACTACAGCTCTGCACAAGACGTTTGGCCAGAGAAGAAATGGTGGTGCCCAACTGAGCCTGGTTTTTATTTTATTGTATGAAAGGTTTGTGTTGAACTCTGTTTCTGGATATCAATAACACCAGCGCCACATGGCAGACTCGCAATATAGATGCTGGAAGGATATTCAGTGCAGCTCTACATCTGTGACTATGCCCATGCTCCTCGGGGGTGTGTCTGTGTGTGGATCACCTGTGCAGGGCTGGAGCTCCTCCTCCTGCGGGCGGGGCTGGTCTGGGCTCCGGCTGGCTCCAGTGCAGTGCTGTGTGGAGGCAGAGCTGGAGCGGAGGCCTGAGAGCCGCTGGACGCACCGGGCTGAGCTTTACACGCCTGAGAGAAAGACACATGCATGAAGAATAAAAACACGCACACACACACACACACACACCAAGAGGAGGATAACACTGCAGAAACACACAAGTTTACACCGACAGTGCTGATCCTCCACACGTCCTGCTGAAACTACACTAGCGCTGCGTGATTAGCTGATGATGACAGCTGTACGCTCACAGACACCAGTGGCGAGCTGCTTATCAATACCATCGATCATATCAACACTGATCAGTGAGTCAGGGGCAGATTCAGTGATTTAGGGGGCTATTCAACACATTTAACAGTGCATTATCACCCGGAGTGTGTTTATTTTCTCACTCGGTCTACATTAGTTTGTTCCTTAAAATAAAAAATAAAACAGAAAATAAAGAATAAAGTTCTGTACGTTTTATAAGGAAAGGCTGTGGTTTGAGTGCTGGACGCCTCAACTCATTCCTTGATCTGTTTATTTTGCTCTCCTCCTCTTACACTCGCTCACTCTTCATTTCCACGTTTTTAATGGAAAGCTGACCAGAGTAAGTGACCGTGCGTGATTATTTACTATGAATTATTTACATAATAACTGCATCTGTTAGAGTCTCACCACACAAAATACAGAGAAAACCAAATTATAAATCATTTAAAAGTCTAATTTATACTTGTAGGTGTTAATCAGGGGCCCAGAGCGGCTGCTTACCCCGCTTATTAGTTAAATCCACCCCGCATTTAATTTATGAAACAGTCCATTAAGTGTACAGCCATAGAGTCTGAATATAAACTCTGCAGATGAGCAGCTTCCTCCCAAACACACACACACACACACACACACACACACACGCACACACGCACACATACACGCACACACACACGCGCACACGCGCGCACACACACACACACACACACACACACACACACACACACACACACACACACACACACACACACACAGCCGTACGCACGCACACACACGCACCAGTTGCAACTTTAGCATTATTGAGGGAAATGTACAGCTGGAGCAGAGACACAAGAGCGGCCCATCAAATATAGACTACATTAATAATCACTATAATCATAATAATAATAATAATGATGATGATGATGATGATGATGATGATGATAAAATGTGGAAAATAATCATTTGATCTCCTGCAGACTTAAGAAGAGATGAAGGCTCTGCAGTATTAAGGACGGTTTCTTTTGACCGACAGAGAACAGCAGAACATACACACACGCACACACACACGCACACACACACGCGCACGCACGCACACGCGCATGCACGCACACGCGCACGCACGCACACCCACCCAGCATGAGATCAGACAATTACTGACCGACTGTAATGCAGAGGAAGATTACAGGTGACAGGTGAATCTGAGAGGACAGATACAGAAACACGCGCACGCACGCACGATGAGCGAGAGCAGCAGTCTCAATGAGAACATGCTCATTGTACTGTCATGAACACACAGACACACAAACGGACAAACAAACGGACACAAACACACACACACACAGCTATGACTACAGTCGGACGGCGTCAGTGTTTGGTGTGTAACTGCAGCACTAGGACACACAGACTAGAATCTACAGCACACACACACACACACACACACACACACACACACACACACACACACACACACACACACAGCTCTGGGTGAAGAATGAGGCGCTCTGCATGTGTGTGAGGACTGGGCGACTACACCTCACAGAACATCACTGAAATCCCCCATAAGCCCCGCTGCGCTCTCGTGGACAGGCAGACATCAAACACACGCGTGTCCTATAGTGCACCAGCGGAGGACGGCGCTCGTCTTCATCACGATGCTGAACTGCTCTGGGAGATGATGAAGACTGCTCACTGTGCCCACTTCAGTAGCTTCAAGACCTCCTCAGAATACTTTATTCAGTACACTAACCAGCGTCAAAGCAGCACTCAATAGACAGCTGTAGGTGAAGACATGAACTGAGCAGCAGAACTCAGACGAGCCGGGAACAAACAAAGCTTACAGAATAAATGAGGCGCTTGTGTTCAGCCACATTTCCCCATTTTGCCGTCTGTTTGGCTCTACGGTTTAACGGCATGTGGAGAGCGTCACATCACCTTCCAGTGTTCACAGCAAACACCTGACATCACCCGGACGGAGGAGCTTGGGCAGACCCTAACCCTAACCCCAGCACGAACCAATCATGTGGATGGAGCCCGCTGCTGCACTGTTCTCCTCTCATAGATGTAGACTCATCACTGCAGTGCATTGTGGGATTGATTGAGTGCACTCCAGGATGTCCACTAGAAATAGGCTGCTCGTCATAGAGTGCACTATTAAGGGTCTAGGGGCGATTTCAGATCAAATCCTGCACTTATTTCTGAATATATAAGCATAAACTGATATACTGGCCAGCCCTGATCAACACACACACACACACAGGGTGTTCGGCTCATTTTTGACCCAGGTGTGTGATCGTGCAGCGCTACACTACTGGAGCTCACTCACGTACAGAAACCACGCTACTGATCAACACACACACACGCACGCACGCACGCACGCACGCGCGCACGCGCGCACACACACACACACACACACACACACACACACACACACACACACACACTGATGTAGAGTTTGTTAATCCAATCCCTGTGGAGCATCAAGCAGGAGCGTGGTTTCTCCGGAGCGAGAGTGTGTGAGAGTGTGTGGGTGTGTGTGAGTGTGTGTGTGGGGCAGGTCTCGGGGCAGGTGTCGGAGGTGTGTGTATGTCTATCTGGGCTCACCTGCGGGCCTGTGCTCTGGACACCCTGTCTGGACGTGAGCTCTGCTGGGATTGGGAGGCTCCAGGCTTCCTCAATATTAGGAAGTGTTTTACTTTTACCCTGCAGACTATTGAGACGGAGCTTACAGAACTGAGCCTGGAAAACGCGTGAGAGAGAGAGGTCAGCAGCGCACGAGCACACGCATGTACACACGGCCCTGAGATAATGCACAGTATATCTGTCTGCATGATCACTGACACACACACACACACACACACACACACGCACACACACACGCACACACACGCGCACACACACTAACACATGCACACACACACACACACACACAATGGAGGTGGAAGAAATCTGACACAAATTAACTGAACAAATGAACATGTAGTGAGGGGAGCGCGCTCTGCTCTGTGTGTGTCTGTTTCTGTGTGTGTGCATGTGTGTCTCTGTGTGTATGTGTGTGTGTGTCTCACCTGCAGGTATTTGATGCGTGCGGCGAGCGCAGCGGTGTTGCTGCAGGTTTTGCTGCGTGTGGCGTTGATGTAGCACTTGATGGCGTCGTGCGGCTGGTTGCAGGACTCGTACAGCGTGCCGAGGTCCATCCAGGCGGCGGCGTGACTGTGGTCCAGCTGCACTGCGCAGATATAGGCCTGCAGCGCATCCATGGGCTGGTTCTGCTGCTGGTACAGCACACTGCGCACGCACGCACGCACACACACACACACAAACACACACACACAGCAGGAATTTATTAAATTGATTTATCCAGTTATTAATTATTCATGAGAGTGATGTGGCGGCGCAGTGGCGCAGTAGGTAGTGCTGTCGCCTCAGCATGAAGGTTGCTGGTTTGAGTCTCGGCTGGCTCAGTTGGTGTTTCTGTGTGGAGTTTGCATGTTCTCCCTGTGTTGGTGTGGGTTTCCTCTGGGTGCTCCGGTTTCCCCCACAGTCCAAACACATGCGCTATAGGGGAACTGAGTAGACTAAATTGTCCGTAGTGTATGAGTGTGTGTGTGTGGATGTTTCCCAGAGATGGGTTGCGGCTGGAAGGGCATCCGCTGCGTAAAAATGTGCTGGATAAGTTGGCGGTTCATTCCACTGTGGCGACCCCGGATTAATAAAGGGACTAAGCCGACAAGAAAATGAATGAATGAATGAATGAAAGAGAGCGATGTGTTACTGATCATCTCCTGGATGAAGACACCGTAATAATCACATCATCTGCTGTAATTGAAACACACGTGCACATCACTGAAAATATTAAATCAATATTGAGACGCAAATATCTGCTGTAGGAGCGCAGCAGCACACTCTACACCAGTGATCCTCAGCCGAGGGCTCTGTTGTGTAGGGCAAATCCTTTTGCTCCCTCCAAAAAATAAAAACGATGCAAAAACCCTGAAATCACCAACTTTCCCCATAACATGTGTTCACGCTGTGCACGAGTGTGTGTGTGTGTGTGAGGTGTCCGTGGAGTTGGCATGCTCTCAGTGCTTCAGTTGATCTACTGTTGGCTGTGGTCTCTGCTATATGTCGTGTTGTGGTCGTCGTGTTTATAAGCTCTTCTGCAGTGACCTCTTCAGCTGACAGTCTACATTAATCTATTTTACAGATCTATACACCACATCTCTACAGTATAAATCCATACATTTATTTAAAGAGTGTCGTCCTTCATCATCCTGTACTGTTAACAGCTGACTGCACTGTGATGGAGACTCTGCAGTGGAGGCTGTGGCGGTCAGGGTTGGAGTTTTGTTATTTAATCAACACACACATACAGCTGACGATCTGCGGGAGCTTTCAGCTCAATTATAATGAAGACACACATTAACTTCTGAATAACGCGGGACGCTCAATTATCCAGCTGATTACCCTGATTACCCCCATAGCGCCATCTGCCCCGCAGTTTGAGAACCGCTGCCCTATACGCGTGTGAGATTTACAACAATGATCCACTCATTGATTATGAATTATTACTGAATGAGCAGGTGATTGTGCTGCAGACTTCATGAGGAGTCGATAATTAAAGATTAGCATCGCCTGCTGTACATCACCACACAAGCAAGACTCAGAGGTGCTCAGGCCACAGGGAGCCCCGGCCCTCGCCCTGCCTCCCGATACTCCCTCAGCGATCACACACACTCAATATTACTACACGAGCAGCGCTGAGGATTAAGGAGGAGACGTGAGGATGGGGGAACACCATCTTCATCCTCCTCCTCCTCCTCCTCAGGTGTACACACCCTATGGAGCACCAGGTGTCGGCGCTGGCCTCCGATTTGTCGATGGACTGCCTGTAGGAGATGAAGGCGTCCTGGACCTTCCCGATACTGGAGTAACACCTGGAGGAGCACGCACACACACACACACACACACACCTGAGTAAAGATCTGAGCACACACTCAAATGCAGAAACAGAGGCATGCAGACACACACTTGCGCACGCACACGTTACCCCACCTGCCGAGGAAGTACCAGGACTGGCCGGAGTTGGGGTCGGCCTCTAGACTCTTCTGCAGACACTGGATGGCGTAGCTGTCCTTGTTGGCTTTATCTCCCAGCTGCTCCACTGTATGGTGCATCCAGCCTTCACACACACACACACACACACACACACACACACACACACACACACACACACACACACACACACACACACACACACACACACACACACACACACACACACTTCTGTGATAAACACACACTCAGAGAAACACCACACACCTGCAGCCCGTTTACACAGAGAACCCTTCCTGACAGAGCCCCCCCCACACACACACACACACACACACACACACACACACACACACACGCACGCACGCACGCACGCACAGCTGGAGTGCAGGATGATGAGGGTGATGTTCATGCTGACACATGTCATCATTCAGGAGATCATCACCTATGCAGTGTTCAGTTATAGATGGCTGTGAGTGTGTGCGGTGTCCACATGGAGAAGCACAGCGCATTCATAACAGCAACAACAGAGCAATAGAAGCTTAACGTGGCCAGTGTGTGTGTGTGTGTGTGTGTGTGTGTGTGTGTGTGTGTGTGTGTCTGTGTGTGCTGATGCCTTCATCTCCAGCAGGTGGCGTTAGCAGAACACAGCTCAGAATACACACCAACACCACCACGAGGAGAGAGAACACAGACACGCACGCGCACACACACACACACATGCACACACACACACGCACACGCATGCACACACACACACACACACACCTGTGATGAATCTACACTCAGAGAAACAGCAGTGTGTGTGTGATGCTCTTACCCAGCTGTTGGAGCGCAGCGGCCCGCACCGGTGTCTGCAGGTCCTCCGTCTGCAGCAGACTCTCGTACGCCTCTTTGGCCGCTCGGTGTCTCTTCTGTGAGGACGAAAACAAAGCATCAACCAATCACAGCGCTCTCTGCGGTTACTAGAGCAACAGCAGGAGGACGCTCAGCATCCCTCACAGCTCAAACATCCACTCACACATTAGCAGAAGCACACACACACACACGCACATGCACACGCACACACGCACACGCACACACACACGCACAAGCACAAGCAGAGATCAAATACACGAGCAGAGTGTTTACAGAACTTCTTCAGTTGAATTTAACACCTTTACTACCTGCTTTAATACCTTAAAAATGTAATAGCAGCACGACTGAGAGCTGCAGCTGTACTGGCGTGAATGAAATATCTGTCCACATGGAGTAACATACTGCAGATAACACACACACACACACACACACACACACACACACACACACACACACACGTTTCAGTAAAGCAGAGGGATTCATCAAGGTGTCACAATGGGCCTGTCCATAGTTGTACATCATACAGGTCATCAGCCTCAATAGTCGCTCTGCTAAGAGCACTCGGGTACGGTTACGGTTGTTTCTCCACTGAGTCTGGAACAGCGCAGCTCCATTATAAAGCGTTCTCGGCCCAGAATAGACCACCGTGCTGAACTGTGCTGATAGATTCTGTGTGTCAGGCCTGCAAATGCACTTTCAGTCGTCAGCGCCGCCGCTCCCAACTTCAGTATTGAAGAGCAGCAGAATAAGCGCAGGAGCGCCACTGCACACTGCATATATATATTGCATTTAAAAACAACATCATTCAGGACTAACACAACCCAGAAACAACTAATGCTGAGATGACCTACTGATATTTGTGCAGTAACTCCACAACAAATGTCTAATAATAATAATGAGATATTAATGATGACGACAGTACTAATCCTGAAGTACATCTCTCATCATCATGCTGCCCTGAATCTGCTCGAGTTATCTGCTATAAGCAGTCCCGCTGGCCCTTTATGAAAAACCAATCTGGTGTGCATCAGACAGAACTGAAGCAGTGCAGTGAGAGATGTTTACTGGGCACTAGTGTTTCTGTGCATGTCAGTTTAATAAATAACATTTCTATATTATAATACACACAGCTCAAAGATTAACTCACGCATCAGCAGAAGCACACACAAGCAGACAAACACACAACGGTTAAAGGAATGATGATGATGATGATGATGATCAGGTGTGGTGGAGGACTCACCTGAATCTCATACAGGTGTGCGATGTGGAACTGAACTGCAGACACAAACACAGAGACACGATTCAGCAGAGAAAACAGATCCTGCACACACACGGAGGACACTGTGTGTGTGTGTGTGTGTGTGTGTGTGTGTGTGAGAGAGAGCTTATCAAACACTAGGGCTGCCATTGGTGTTTTTAAGGCAAGCGTTTGCAGCAATGACTGTAAAAAATATGGACGACGCGACAGCCCCTTTTGCCATTGAACGCCTTGAGGGCAAAACGCCTGCTTGACGGGCACAAACTGTCGCAAAAGACTGCTGAAATTGGAGCCAGACATGCGCAGAAGGACTGTCTGATGGAGCCAGAGGAGGAGCCGCGATAATGAGCGGAGTCGAGCTTCCAACCAAACGCTTTATGTAAAATCAACCACGCCCCCCCAACTTCTCACTCGACTGCCGGTGTCTGCACTTTAACAAACGCTCACTGATGTAAATAGAAGCACTTACATTAAAAAAAACACAATAATATACGGTTTAAAAACGGTGTGATGTAAGCTGTTAAACTTTAATAAAAGCAATACATGCTGGACTGCAGAAATAAACGATCTTTTATACACTCTAGCCTGAATATCAGCACAAATAATATATTCTCTTATTGTTATATTTGTTGTTGGTATTTGTTATCTTCATAGGGGTAGAAATAACACTTGTAAAATATGAACAATAACATATAAACAACACATACATTTTTAGAAAGGTTTTTATTTTTAATTAGCCATCAACAGAACCCAAAATATAGCCTACACACCATAACGATTTACCATGCGGGAACAATCGTGCGTTTAGAAGATAAATACAGCAAGATTACTAAATATCAACAGGATATTTCCCAACCCTGCAATTTGTCAATTTGTGCAAAAAAACTTTGCACTATTAATACAACGTCTATCTGCTGTAACATATATTGTTTATTCATTTTCGCTTGAATTGTTTATTTATTTAATTTTTTTGCCTCCGTTTTCATTTGGTTTATTCGATGCCTTCATTATATCTGGCAACGAGGAATTTACATTCATTTTAATGTTAGCTGGAGTGTTCAAATAAAACGCCAACAGTAAATGATGTAAATAAATAATATCTAACATTTACAGCTCTATTAGGTTATATAAGATTCGATTTCAAGAACCTTATAATGATTTATAACAGCAAATTCAGTAGATTACTTAATAACATGCCAAAACTTAAAATGCAGAGACGTCCTATAAAGCAAGTTCAAATAACCTTACAGGAGATCAACGTGGAGATTATTATTTAAACACAAAGAGAATTACTGCTAACGATCTCCTGTATACCCCGTACTTAAATGGGTTTATTTTATTGTGCAGTTTTATTGTCATTTTCGTATTTATTATTATTATTATTTAATACTTGTGCAATCGATACAGGTTTATTGTTATTTATTTTGTCCTTTATTTAAATAACTGCTATGCTGTTTGCATCTTTATTCAAAGGTTAAACTCAGTGATACACTTTGCGTTCACATAGTAGCATGCGTTTGTTGTTATATCAACAAAAATGGGTGTAATAACGTTAACAAATGTGAGGGTTTTATATAATGAAGATTCAATCGCGCCAGCTCCGGGCATCAGCGCATAACCTAGTCGCGGCGTCGCGGGCTGATTCCGGCTCGCATGCGGCAGCGCCTGCTCGCTCGGCCGCCGCATCTGGCTCAATTGACTCAGGCTGGAATCGGGCAGTGAGTCCAGGCATCCGGAGTAGGTCCAGCAGAGGTAGTCAGTCTGAGGGGTAAGTCTCCGGCAGGCAAGAACTGGCCCCAGTGTATTTTGCTATCTGGGTGGCTAGGCGTGTATTAGCAAACTAATAAAGCCCGAAAAAAGCCCTGAACTTAGCGAATAAACAGTGTTCCACCAGATCATGTATGTCAGAAACTGTAGTTTACTGCTAAACTCATTTTGTCATAGTAAAATATCACAGAAATCGAGTAATAACACTTCAGTCTCCTGCTGAAGCTCAGACGCCGCGCTTTGAGAAACTGTCAATCACTGCTTTCAATCACGATGACACGCCCAGCATTAAATTACTGCTAAAAACACACTGTTTACAAAAATGAAGATCTGCACCTATTTCAGCAAAATAACCAGTGCCTTCATCGACCAGAACTATCTTTCGGGACATTTTACTGCAAGTGTAATTAATTTTTTTATTTGGGCTCAAGTCTCCTTCATTAACACGGAGGAGGCGGGCTTTATGACTTGTACTGCAGCCAGCCCCCAGGGGGCGATCTAACGGCCGAGACCTTCACTCAAACGCAGGCTTGCGGCACACTTGGTTTGCAGGCATCAGGAGTGAGTGTGCTGCCCGCCTGCTTTTGAGTGACGCTCCCGGCCGTGAGATCGCCCCCTGCGGGCTGGCTGCAGTACAAGTCAAAGCCCACCTCCTCCGTTACTTGAGGCTGAATAAACAACGCGCTGGTCATCAGCTGATAGAGGAGCAGATCTCCATCTCGGTAAACGAGGTGTTTCAGCCACTAATGCAATCATATAAATGAGGGCGGGGCATCGTGATTGACAGCTTCTCTAAACCGAGCGACAGAGCTTCAGGAGGAGACTGATTTCTGCTTCTGTTTGATTTCTGTGTTATTTTACCATGATATGAGGAGTTCAGCTGTAAACTATACTCTAGCAGTAATTCTCTTTATGAGTCTGAAATAATAATCAGGAAGACGAAGCTAATGTTAGCCGATCTCCACACTGATCTCCTGAACTTGATTTACAGGCCGTCTCTGCATTTAGTTTCAGCATGTTATGGAGTTCATCTACTGATTATTCTGTCATAAAATATGGATGTTGTAGACGCAGAATCCTCTATTTGAAATCGAGCTGTAAGTGTGCTGTATGGTGTGTGTACATCATGTACTGCTGGCTTTTATTTGAAAATCCCTAATAAACACTAAAATACAGGTAATTCCTCTTTGCCAGATATGGATCAGGATTATTGTAGATAGTGCAGGGATGTGGGATGTGTAAATCTCCTGTTGATGTTTAGAAATCTCGCTGTGTTCATCTTTTAAACACATGACTGTTCCCGCATGGTAAACGGTTATCCATGGTGTGTTTATTTGGGTCCTGTTGATTGTGAATTAAAAAACCTTTCAGTAAATGTGTGTGCTGTTTATATGTTACTGTTCATATTTTACTGATGTGATTTCATTCCCTGTGAGGATCATAAACACCAACAGCCCAGGGCTCTGTTCTTCATACCTCACTTAAATGATCTAGGAGGATTCAGCAGGTCCTGGATCTGTTCATCTTGATAACTGATCTCTGGCTAATCTGGTTCTTCAAACAAGTCTGAGTCTGATTAAAGTGTCTGGATGAGCTGATCTGAGATCTGTGTGTGTTGTGAAGGACAGATCTATCCATCCTCCAAATCATGATCAGCAATGCAGCGATTGGCTGATGGCACAGCAGCGTAATGACATCATCTGATTAATATTCAATTATTAATGCAAGCAAAATGATGTCAAATTAGCAGAAACGGCTTGTTAAATATGACACGCAATAACCTTC